AATGACCCGCACAATGCTAACCAGCTCCCTGCACTCTTTGGCCAAATGACTTTATGGAAGTGATCTTCTTTTGGTACCTATCACAACGGCCAGCCTCGGTTTGTTTTGGGGGTCATTTCTATAGTCCCAACATCTTTCTACACGCACTGGACTTACTCCCGTGTTCCGTTTTCGCTTCGACGTATTTTGATTTTGCGCACTAGTTCGCCAGTATATTGGCGTCGATTATCAGTCAATCGAATGCCACCAGCGGTGTCTCTAGTTTTTCACTTGGAGCGCTCAGCAACGTCATCAGTGTGATGGAATATGCCTGAATAATAGTGTCCCAACTGCTTCGCTGAATCCACCTTTTCAGTCTACCTTTAACTTGAACTCTGCCCTCTTTAGGACCAACCGGAGGTCTGGCATGATGCAGTACGCCGTGGTTTGATTGCATGTGCGTATGCTAATTGAACCACTGGTTTTCTCTTGATATTGTTTTGCCCATGCTCCGCACAGTACTCTGTGGTTTGTTATGATGTCGAACGCTAGGCAAAAGCTTGTAATCTTGACCTTCGCAAATGAGGGAAACTTCTTCACACAGCACATTGGCCGTCAGACAATATTTTGATGGCTTGTAAATTAAACTTTGAAGTTTTATCACTGCAGCTTTTTTGAACAAGTAATTTGTCTCTATAGTCGGATCATCGGGCCGGTTTATTCGGGGACAAGCACTCGATAGCCAACATTTTAATCACGACACCGAGGTCCTTACGTTGGGCTCTGTTTTTACCTTTCTCGTAAAAGGGCTTCCCAAAGGAAGATTAGGAGACTAGTTGTATTCAGACCAATGGTATGTTGGTGAGGACTTCACCTTATGGCACGAATGACATGTTAGTTCATTTTAACGGCACGTTCGTCCAGGATAAATAATCGATTTCGTAGGTGAATCTTCATGCTGATATCATGTTGGTCACAACAAAGAAAGGACATGATGGGGACCATAAATAGTTATGCAGTACGCTTGCTAGAATGGAGCACATCTGATCACACTAGGGAAGTTTTGTGTTAAATATTTGTGATGTACTACTCATAAGGTTGCAGAAAATCCGTCGACAGCCCACGACCGGTTTCGCCCTTTTTGGGGCTCATCAGGTAGGTGCAGTCCCCGGGTTTCCGTCAACCTTATGTTCTACTTGAAACCAAATTGCACGAAATTGGCGAATATACACTCATTCGAGTGACACCTGGAACCCAGCTGAACCTCTCGTTTGTGATGTTTCCAGGCAACTGAATGTGCTGCACCAGGCCGCCTCATGTTTCAGTCGCTACGATGTTCTAGGTATCGCGATACATGTGAGTATTTGTGATGTACTACTCATAAGCTTTTTTTTACATATTTACATATTCATATATATTTATTTTTATTCATTCACTCATTCATTTTTTATTTTTATTCTATTCATTTATTATATATATTTATATATTTACATGTATCGCGATATCTCGAATGTCGTAGGGACTGAAACATGAGGCGACCTGGTGCAGCACATTCAGTTGCCTGGAGACATCACAAACGAGAGATCCAACTGGGTCCCAGGTGAGTCTCTCGAAAAACCAAATTAGTTTGTAAGTCTTGTGTTAGTTTCTGCTGCCGCTGCACAGACTACCCAAACCATCCGTGTGATTTGCTGTAGGTTGATTCATCCGCGCACCATGCTATAATTGTTGCTTACGTAGGACCAACCTCTAGGACGATCTCGATAACCGCGGACGTTCATTCTTGTTTGGAATGTTGTCGAAATTCAGAAGAACGTGCCGTAACCCTGATAAAGCGACATCGTAGAATTAAAGACGGGATGGTTACGAGGGACGCTCAAGATAGGAGGTTTGTGGTATCAAGCATTTCAACTAGAAAATGATTTGTCGGACGCTGTTCTTGTCATGCTGGGGCATCGAATTCCGGATACCAGATGCAAGTGAAAAGCCGAGAGCTAAATCAAGTCACGAGCACCATGATTCGTTATCAAGCTTCTGTAAATTCATATGCAAAAGCTCACTGTGGCATCCGGTGGTAATAACGATAACGTTGTGGGTGCATAAGCATTAATTCCTTCGGTACAACTGCTGTGATCTCAATTGCTCTTTATAGGAGGAAGTTGTTAGCAGGATATGTCATTACATTTGCCTAGGTTGTGTGCTTTCATAATCTCCCGTCGAAAGCGGAAATCAACTGACCTATTCAGACGATTGGCAAAACCAGTCCACCGGCAATTTCTCAAGTTTCATTGATGACCGAACAAGACATTTTTGCTCATCAAGTCTACGGTGATCGGTATTCACAGGTCATTGTTGAACATGTCCCTCAATTCCTGACTTATCTGCACGCTCAGTAACGTCTGGGAATCACGGCATGAAATCGGACCACAACGCTTCACCTACTCAGGTGATTCGATGAGCTGAGAAAGCTGTCCTATTATCCAGCTATGAACTGAAAACGATCTGTTAAACCCATGGAAACCAACTGCCAGACTCAGTGAACAGTTTTGAGAGTTTGCGCAGTGATATAACAGGGTTGTTACTAGTCCTTATCACTCAGGTCGGTTTTTCAAACATAATCGGTATACACTTGTACATTGATCCGCGTCTAGCTCTTCATCGGGTAGGTACCTTCGACCTTGCAGACGGAATGACCTGATACGGCTAGGATACGTAGTTAGGTTTTTGGCGCTCCACCCTGCACTTTTTCTGGATCAGACAGGCCTCAACAGACGAAGGGAAAAACCGAACCTGTGCCGCATTAGGAAGTAGGTTGATGGTCAGTTTGCTGTTGGTCGCCGTTCGTCGCATTCCAACACTGCTTATCCGGTGTTACCGCGGTACATGTGTCAAGGGGACTGATGATGAGAGGCAAATAGTCACCTATTTCCTGTGAAGTGTGGCTGTTCGGTTTCCCAGCCGTAAGGATGCATTGAATGCACTGCAACATTGTAGATCCTGCCACTTCTATGGGGCGAGATGGCCGAATTGTTTAGAGCGCGAATTTACTGGCCGGAAGGTCCGTGGTTCGAACTCGACCTCTGCCTCTGGACTTCCCCTATCTAGGCTTGGGCAACCTGGTGGTATCCCAGCCTTCGTGTAACCTTCGGGTGGCATGACAGTTAGGCATCGGAAGGGTGCTACAGCTGAACGCCACTTCTAGACAACCTAAGGTATCTGAGCTGAGTAAAGACTGTCCAGGCTTTGGAAATATAGTTTTCACTTCGTTGGTAGGACTGTCATTCAGAAGGATACAAATACCCGGACATGTGGATCTGTTAATTACTGCAAGCGTCATGGATGCTTCCGTTATGTTGGATACCATGTCCAACTTGTCTTGTTTCTACCGCTGCCTCCAACTCAGATGAGGATATTGCTGTTGTTTCTCGATGACCTCCCTCTTCAGTAGCATTGCGCTGTTGATGGCATATGTACTTGGCCTTATTTAAGCGCGACTGGTTCTTCCAGTAGGACCCATATCTTCCTGAAGGCCTAGCAACAGATACGAACCGAAAATAAGGGCCGATGTAGCTTGTGTTAGTTTCTGCTGCCGCTGCACAGACTACCCAAACCATCCGTGTGATTTGCTGTAGGTTGATTCATCCGCGCACCATGCTATAATTGTTGCTTACGTAGGACCAACCTCTAGGACGATCTCGATAACCGCGGACGTTCATTCTTGTTTGGAATGTTGTCGAAATTCAGAAGAACGTGCCGTAACCCTGATAAAGCGACATCGTAGAATTAAAGACGGGATGGTTACGAGGGACGCTCAAGATAGGAGGTTTGTGGTATCAAGCATTTCAACTAGAAAATGATTTGTCGGACGCTGTTCTTGTCATGCTGGGGCATCGAATTCCGGATACCAGATGCAAGTGAAAAGCCGAGAGCTAAATCAAGTCACGAGCACCATGATTCGTTATCAAGCTTCTGTAAATTCATATGCAAAAGCTCACTGTGGCATCCGGTGGTAATAACGATAACGTTGTGGGTGCATAAGCATTAATTCCTTCGGTACAACTGCTGTGATCTCAATTGCTCTTTATAGGAGGAAGTTGTTAGCAGGATATGTCATTACATTTGCCTAGGTTGTGTGCTTTCATAATCTCCCGTCGAAAGCGGAAATCAACTGACCTATTCAGACGATTGGCAAAACCAGTCCACCGGCAATTTCTCAAGTTTCATTGATGACCGAACAAGACATTTTTGCTCATCAAGTCTACGGTGATCGGTATTCACAGGTCATTGTTGAACATGTCCCTCAATTCCTGACTTATCTGCACGCTCAGTAACGTCTGGGAATCACGGCATGAAATCGGACCACAACGCTTCACCTACTCAGGTGATTCGATGAGCTGAGAAAGCTGTCCTATTATCCAGCTATGAACTGAAAACGATCTGTTAAACCCATGGAAACCAACTGCCAGACTCAGTGAACAGTTTTGAGAGTTTGCGCAGTGATATAACAGGGTTGTTACTAGTCCTTATCACTCAGGTCGGTTTTTCAAACATAATCGGTATACACTTGTACATTGATCCGCGTCTAGCTCTTCATCGGGTAGGTACCTTCGACCTTGCAGACGGAATGACCTGATACGGCTAGGATACGTAGTTAGGTTTTTGGCGCTCCACCCTGCACTTTTTCTGGATCAGACAGGCCTCAACAGACGAAGGGAAAAACCGAACCTGTGCCGCATTAGGAAGTAGGTTGATGGTCAGTTTGCTGTTGGTCGCCGTTCGTCGCATTCCAACACTGCTTATCCGGTGTTACCGCGGTACATGTGTCAAGGGGACTGATGATGAGAGGCAAATAGTCACCTATTTCCTGTGAAGTGTGGCTGTTCGGTTTCCCAGCCGTAAGGATGCATTGAATGCACTGCAACATTGTAGATCCTGCCACTTCTATGGGGCGAGATGGCCGAATTGTTTAGAGCGCGAATTTACTGGCCGGAAGGTCCGTGGTTCGAACTCGACCTCTGCCTCTGGACTTCCCCTATCTAGGCTTGGGCAACCTGGTGGTATCCCAGCCTTCGTGTAACCTTCGGGTGGCATGACAGTTAGGCATCGGAAGGGTGCTACAGCTGAACGCCACTTCTAGACAACCTGTGTAACCTTGGGTGGCATGACAGTTAGGCATCGGAAGGGTGCTACAGCTGAACGCCACTTCTAGACAACCTAAGGTATCTGAGCTGAGTAAAGACTGTCCAGGCTTTGGAAATATAGTTTTCACTTCGTTGGTAGGACTGTCATTCAGAAGGATACAAATACCCGGACATGTGGATCTGTTAATTACTGCAAGCGTCATGGATGCTTCCGTTATGTTGGATACCATGTCCAACTTGTCTTGTTTCTACCGCTGCCTCCAACTCAGATGAGGATATTGCTGTTGTTTCTCGATGACCTCCCTCTTCAGTAGCATTGCGCTGTTGATGGCATATGTACTTGGCCTTATTTAAGCGCGACTGGTTCTTCCAGTAGGACCCATATCTTCCTGAAGGCCTAGCAACAGATACGAACCGAAAATAAGGGCCGATGTAGCGTGCCTCTAGCTTGAGTGTATTGGCAACTATCATTTATAGTCCATCCTTCCTTGGTGCCCATCCCAAGCCCGGTATTCTAGAGAGCCAGAGGGACTAATGATTTTTTTCAGTTCTCCACAAAATGTAGTCCTTAGGTTAGTGATCTATGCAGATGGATACACAAGCTAATGATCGTCCCATAAAACTCTCCTGTCAGTACGCTGTTCCTTTGTATTCTCCCCGAGTGCTTACTTCAGTTCAGTCCACCGCCTTGATGTGTGCTTGCACGAACACATGCATCATCTCTGCTCAGGAAGACGGAAAGCAACCGATTTTTGTTTTGATGGTCTGTGTGGACCCGGATGGCCTGGGAATAAATATAACGAATGGAGATCTTTACATGATTCGCGAAGTTTCAAATTTATTCTCCGTCCTTTTATTTGTACAGGTTCTCTTTTCTCACATCCTTAACTGCTGTGCTCGCTGAACCGTTATCAACGTAAAACAAACCAAGCAACTCACTGGACTGTCCGGTCCTCGTGTTTTTTGTTGTGTTAATGGGTCCGAAAATGGGTGAAAATTGGTCGATTCACCGCCTGAATTCACAAGGTCCTGTCAGTCATTCTTGTCGTCAGGGGCTTGGCTACCATAATGGACCGTCTCTCCATAGTGGAAGAGCCGTTGGGTATGAAGTATTTAGATTTAAAGTCCCAGTTTGTCCTAGTACAAGTGGCTTAGCTTGAATGCTTAGTCGAGAGAC